TTTTGCATCAGTGATCGCTGAGGATTCAGACTGAAGGGGCTTGAGAAAGCGGAAGCCGGAAAAGGGCGACGCTAGTCCCAGGTTTGATTGTGCGAGGTAGGATTTCTATCCCTTTTCCTTGTGAGCCTGTTTTCAAAAAGGATTTTTGGCCTTGAAAATGTTTTAAAGAAAGGGATTGGTTTGTGAAAGAAAAATGCTTTGAGAACCATGGCTTGATTAGTCATGGAACCTCATGGCTTGTCCAGTCATGGGCCCGCGGCTTGAGTAGTTCGTGGGGTCATATGAACGATTTCATAATGTTAAATGGATGATTTCTTAAGATAAGAGATCTTGTGAACTGGTAATAGAGTCTATTGCTGTAGGCCTAGATAGGATGCGGAGAGTGCATCCTCGGGGGTAGAACCCGAAACCGGTCCGGGTAGGCGAGGCACTTGGTTAGGTAAGTAATTTGTACTAATTACTTGCTGAAGCCTGTAACATGGTTATTTTCAGTTATATTTCCTTTGAGAAAAAGGATGTGAGGTTCCGGCTGTTCTGTCGGGACTGAATGTCTTATTTTATTTATGTGTTCAATTGTTCATTCATGCGCTCATTTATTTTAAATATTTCAAATTATATCCTACTGGGCCTTTCGCTCACATTTTATGTTTTAAATGTTAAACCCCTCCCAGGAGATTCTAGGAGCGGTGCACAGTAGCTGGATATTTGCTACGGAGCAGCTGAGTTGTGCTGCCGTTGGAATCAAGTGAGGATCGTGAACATCCTCTTGGACAAATGTAAGGAATTTGAGAGTTCTGTAAACTTATGTAATATTTGGATTTACTAGACTGTTGTTGATGTCTGTTGTAATGATTAATTACATGAGCATGTATGTATGATACTGTATGTCCTGTAGGGTGGAGCCCTGTGTGCCAGAGGCTCCTGGATTATGTAATTCATTTATATTTTAATGCAGTTAAGTGTGGGGCCCGGTCTGGGAATCTGCTTTATTAATCCCTAATCGAGCTGCACGTCACCCACCCCGTTTGGGGGGCGTGACAATTATTAATAATGTTGTGTGAATAAATAGACAGAGGGAAAACAAATATATACAAGATGATGTCTTTTCTTAAGCTCGTTGTGGTTTTATCTGCTACAAGTTCCGTGAAAGGAATTGTGTGATCCGCACGTTAACTAATCATACTTTTACGTTCTTCATAAATAAGTTTTGGCTAGACTCTATGTCTTTATTTATTAGTCGCGTTGCTTGTAACGACATTATTGGTGTTTAATTCTACTATCTATTTTTCACTTAAAATATATATATATATACACACACAAAAATTACATAATAAGAATAAGATGAAAAGACAACATCAAATACATAAATTTAATAACTTACCATAATAAGAGTTTAATTTTATTAATTTTTATATATATTTTTTAGTCAACAACCAAATTTATTATAATTATCTTGTTAATGTGATTGAAATAATAATACCTACTGAATGGATAAAATCAATTTTTTCAAAAATATGACACCAATAAATAGTTTGAACTCTAAAAAAAAAAAAAAGGGAAATCCTTGGGGTGCGTTTGGAATTAGTTCCAAAACGTTTTTATTTTTTGTATGAAAATGAAAATGAAAACGTTTTTATTTTCATTTTGGAATCATTTTTGAAAATGCGTTTGGTAGTTTTATTTTGAGATTGTTTTCAGTTTAAAAAAAACTGAATTTGTGTTTGGTGATTTAATTTAAGTTCTCGCCTCTTTAGACGTTTTTTCTTCCTTTCCGGTCTCTCAAGTTATTTCTTTCTCTTCGAGTCATTTAGTTAAGTCAATGGGTACTTGTCTAAGCAAAAAGAAACTCTCTCCTCCTCCTCCTTCTTCTTCTTCTTCTTCTTCGTCTGTTAATAATAAAAATACCGTGTTGAATCACTCGGCACAAGCAAGTGTGGTAGTAGTACCAGTACCAGTAGATCCCAACACTTCAAATAGATCCAAAAAATGACTACCAACAAAAAAACCAGATTCAAGAAAAAACCAGATCCAAAAACGACAACCACTTGAAGACTCTGAATCTGCTCCTGCACCTGCTGCTGTTGTGAGGACTTCCAGTTGCACCAAGGAAGAGGTGGACGCCATTCTCGTCCAGTGCGGGAAGCTCAGCCACAGCTCTTCCGGTAAAGCCGCTTCCTTCTCCTCGGCTTCTCGCTCCCGAAAGTACTCTGGATCCAAGAGGAGCTACGATTTCGACAACAACCTTGTCGATGACGGCATCGTAAAGTATCCATTTTCCTTCGTTAAAATGGATACTTTAGCGGCGACAGTGGAGGAGAAGCGCCCCCGATAGCGGCAGCGCAGCCACCGGCGTTCGTCGCCGAGGGGCTCGCCTTCTCCTCAGGAGAGTTGCCGGTTTTTTGTGACGGTGTTTCCCGGCGAGGGTCGACGGCGGGAGAAAATGAAGAGAGAGGAACCTCGGGAGAAAATGAAGAGAGAGAAGGGAGAAGGGAGAAAATGAAAAGGAAAACTGAAAAATGGATTTAATCCGTTTTCAGATTTTCAGAAAAAGACAAAAATGCTTTTATTTTTTAACTTTTAAAAAATTTTGTACCAATCACATTTTGTGTAAATATTTTTATTTTTTATCTTTAAAAAATGTGAAAAATAAAAATAAAAACGGAAACAAACGGGTCGGTCGCGGAAGAAATAGATTGAAAAAAAAAAAAACCGACCTCAATTTTACGTGGCGAAAGATTCGCACCACGACAAAACGACGTCAACCGAAAACGGCGTCGTATGAGGGAAGAAATGTTTAGTCCACCACGACGACGACGGCGTTATTAAAGCCGTCAGAAACGACCTTGCTATACTTTCTCTTTCCCACTCTCTCTCTCTCTCTCTCCTCTGCAAACGAAAGAGCAGAGAAAAATGAGCAGCCTTTACTCCCTCTTTCTCTAAGAACTCTCTCTCTCTCTCTCTCTCTCTAGCTCTGGGTTTTCTGCGCTCTTTATTCGAAGGCTTATCCCGTGATTTTCATGATATTCTGGTAACTGATCGTTAGAACAATTTCACTCCTCTTTCTTATTAATCAATCAATTAATCAATCAATATAGTATTCTTAATGTTTATCTGTAAATATTCCTAGTATTATATAGTAGGGTTTTGGTTTTTTGTGTTTGATTTCTCGAAATTATTTTATCTTTTTGACTGCCAAATCCGTTTTCTGGGCATTGATTTCGGATCTCTAACTCTTTGACCTTTGTACTTTTTCCAATTTTCTAATTTTAGGGTCTTGTTTTTCTAGTCTTCTGCTTACCAGAGTGAATCAGATTCAATCAGGTCTTGCTATATTTCCATACAAAAATTCTTGTTCTTTGTGCTTTTTTTTGGTCGGTTATTTTTAGTGGCTTGTTTGGTGGTTGGTAGGTACCATTAGAGTGTGGAAAGAGAAGCATGAAAGAAAAAACAAGTGGGAATTTTTGTTGTTGTTTTGTTTAATCCTTTCAAAGCAAGAGTTTGCCATTATTGAAAAGTTGAAGCGCATTTGACCGGAATGTATGTGTTGACCATAGAATTGTCTTTCCCTGTTCTTGTTACCCTTATGTTCAACTGCAAATAGGAAGAGAGAGAATCGAGACCCATGACTGGTTTCCAATCGGGTATCTTTTGTTTTGAGCAATTCAGTTTTTTGTGTTGCAACTTGCAATGTTTGTTTAATAAGCTGATTTTTCTATCATATCATATTGTTTGTTATTAGATAGAGATTTTAATCATTTGAAGTTTATCTTTCTTTTATCAAGTTTTTTGCATTTTCATTACGAATCGGGCATCTTTTGTGTTTCACAATTCAGTTTATTGTGTTGCACTTTCCCTATTTGTTAAATAAGCTGTTTCCTATGATATCATTTGTTATGACGTAGAAATTGTGATCATTTGAAGTTTATCATTTTTCGTCTCAAGTTTTTGCATCTTCATTTCAAGTTGGGCGTCTTTCCTTTTTAGCAATTCAGTTTTTGCGTTTCAACTGGTTTAATAAGCTGATTCCTGTAATATCCTTTGTTTGTTATGTGGTAGAGATTTTGATCCTTTGAAGTTTATCATTTTTATCTCAAGTTTTTCGTCTAATCAATCATACCGCTGGTCGTCCATAGTGATGGGTTTGTTTCTTCTTGTAATTTCAGAGGAACTTCGTCACTTAAGCGAATGCCATTAAGAGTTAAAGTTTTATGATTAGAAGTTCCGCTGTGGTCTATTTTTAAGCATGGGGGCTGCTTGTTGTGTTGCCGTTAGGGAGAAGACGGTAACGAATGCATCAAATACTGATATTTTGCACCGGAATATTCGGTATTCACCAACTTGGAGCTTTCGATGGGATCATCGAGGGCGGGTAGCTGGTGAAGAGACTTCCATGAGCTGGTTTTCTGAAGGAGTCAGTAGGAATGATGAATCTGAAACTAAATGTGAATCAGCAAATGTCTCAGAGGAAGGAAGTCCTTTAGAACATTTTCGCAGACAAACATCACAAAAGTCCCTGCTATATGAGGGAGCTGCAGGTCATGTGAGAACTCCTGCACCAGGTAATTTCTGGAATGAAATCTGTTTAATTACAACTATTACCCTTTCAGTTTAGGCATTTCCTTGATGTGTTATTTTATATTTCCCATTTTCTTTGGATGTGGATCTCATATACAGATACTAGTTGGAACTGCTGAAGTTTTCCTTTTATTCAATATTAGACCAGCATTTCCTGTGTTAGATATATAGACCGTTAATGTGTTATTTTCTATCTCCCATTTTCTTTTGATGTGGATGTCATATACAGATACTGGTTGGAACTTTTAAAGTTGTCTTCCATCAATATTAATTGAACCTTTGAAATTTATACGTTTTAAGTTTGATGTGCATTGTTCCCCTGGGGCATGTCATTTCTGGTGTACCATGCATTAGGGATTTAAGAAAACCAACTGAGGTTGCATCCAGATTCAGTATGAATATTTTCAGCTCAATGGGGAGTAAAAGCTGGTTGAAGGCTTTACTGAACTAGACTTACCAAACTCAAGGATGATTGAGGGTGATGGAGAGGGAAATTATGTAGGTTAGGTAGGGGCCGTTAACGGGTTGAGGTTCCCTTTGTTTCTTTGTAGACTACCACATGTTTTACACGGTCAAAGCAAAAAACCTTTAAGACTACATTTAACTTGATCTCTACTCTCTTTTGTTGCGAGTGTCAATTGCAGACAATTTTTGCAGTATCCCATTATAATGTGCCTTGCTAATAATGTTCCTTCTAGTGACTTTGGATGAACTCGCTGCTTGCCTTTTTTTTAATTCTTTTTTGATTTCCATAATAGCTTCCTTGTCAATGAAATTGGACTTTGTTTCTTTGGATGTATATTCATTCATTAGTTGGCATGTGAGCATGGCAGTGAAGATGGAGTTTTTATATGTAGGTCTGTGGTAAGGATGTCCCATGGTCTGTCTGAAAAACAAACTTTGTTAATAATTTCAGTATTTAGTTTATCAATCAATAATTGGTTTTAGAATAGTTGGTTTACTTAAGAGAACAAGCATTTGACTTTTTTTCTGTGTTTTAAGTGATTATCTGCCCAAGTTTCTTTTTACGTGAATAGTTCTGAGTCACAAGGATAAGTGTTGTATGTTGTTTGTTGATGGCCTCTAATATGGCTAATGTTTTCTTATTTTTAATTTTTTGGATGTTAATTGAACACTAGGTTTTTATCTGACAATTTCATTATGTATTTGTGCCAGATCAATCTATTAGAAGGAATGCTTCAATGGATGCAAGTCTGGAACAGGTACATGTAATGCGAGTGAAGGCTCTTTCTAGTTTCTTCCACTCCCTCTTTTCCTTTTCTCCTGGACTTTATGGTACGGTTTGTATTCTTGCTCGTATGCATTCCTTTTCTTACATTTTTTGTTCAATTGTTGGTCTATTGTAGCCAAAGGAGTTAACAGAATCTCCGTCTGTCTCATATCCATTTCCTGCAAAGTTATCGAGGTCTTTGCCGTCTACTTCATCCCTGACTAACTCTCCTTTGTCATCCCAAGGTCAAGTGCCTCCAGCCAGCTCAACCCAGCATTCTCCTGGACATCATCTGTCAACGCAAGTATCTGATACCCAAGTTCCAGAATTCAAGTCACCAAATAGCTACTTAGTTTCGGAAGAAAAGGCAATACGTCCCTCATGGAGCAATGAATCAGCTAGGGGCTCCCGAGGAGGATCTTCAGATGGTTGGTCTATGCATGCATTTTCTGAGCTTATGGCTAATTCTAATAGAGAAAGGTGGTTTTTTGACAGTGAGTCTTGTGGCTTTAAGCATGAGAAGATGACCAAAGCTACTAGCCGAAAGTCAGCTTCCCCTTGTGTTGATTTGCAAACATGTGGGGTTTGCTCAAGGCCTTTGGTCGAGAGATCTTTATGGAGCAGCCAAAAGATTATTGCTTGTAATGAGCTTTCTGTTGTTGCTGTGCTAGTCTGTGGGCACGTTTATCACGCCGAGTGTTTGGAGAACATGACACCCGAAATTAACAAATACGACCCTGCTTGTCCGGTTTGTACTTTTGGGGAGAAACAGACCCATAAGATGTCTGAAAAGGCACTAAAAGCTGAACTGGATCTGAAGGCGAGAAACAGGAGATCGAAGAACCGGGTTGTAGACCTTGATGGTGATTCTGATGTGTTTGATCACTTGAAGGGTAGTGGAGGAAATCAAGGAAATGGTCCCAAGATGGCCTCCAGTTCCAGCATGAAAAGCCCGAGGCCTTTCTTGAAGAGGCACTTCTCATTTGGCTCAAAGAGTGTTCGGGCCTCGTCAGATAATCATGCTACCAGAAAGAAGGGTTTCTTCTGGGCAAAATCCAGTAAGATGTGAGCTTTCTCAAAGCTTTTTGGGAGGTTAGCAGATCTCTTTGCCTCATGTTTGTTGCTTACATCAGTAGATTCCTTGGAGATTCTTTCATGTTGCTTGGGATAATTAATAAAATACACAACAAATTTCATTATCTGGTACCATAATTCGTCCCCCTTGGCTACTGAGCTCGTGGCTAAAGTTATCAAGTTTCCAATTAGACTCTGTTGATATTCTATGAAGATTTCTGGTATCGATCTTGTTCTGCAATCTCAGTTGGACAAAGGGACTCGAAGGATTCAGGAAACCACTCATTCATCTGGGCATTGTATGAAAAGTTTACATCAACTTGCAAATTCTCAGAATTCAACAAGATTAGCTCTGTGGGATTACACTGTAAAGAAGTAAGAAAGAAATAGAGGATTCTATAGGAGAAACAGTTCTTTATATAGTGGAGAAAAGGAAAAGCAAAGTAGATTGGAACTGCCTCATGAGATTTGTCATCTCATTCATGTTTGTAAATATCAATTTGTTTTCAGCTGCTGATGCATACATGATTTTATTTAAGTGAAACGCTATATGTCTGGACATATCCCGAATTTGACCAAAAGGCTATGTAGGGTGTGCCTTTTCCTTCAATGGGATTTACTATTGATTTAGCAAATGAATTGAGATATTATTGTGAACTGCTTCTAGTGTTTAAACTCAAAAAGCTATCTAACCCCTGCCGTTATAGCTTCTTTTGTGCCGCTTATAAAATTTTAAGAAAGATCCATATTTTATTTTACTGAGCCAAAAACAGAAAAGAATGTGATGTCATAAAGCTTCAGGTTTGGCAACAAGAAGAGCTATGAAGCATTAAAATTTAGAACTACCGACACGTTGGTATTTCTAGTTTTAATATTCCTGTCCGATCAATATATTATACAGTATTGGGTGTGTAGTGGCGTAAGTGAAAATTAGGTCCATTCTTAAGAGTAGAATTGGATGAGATTCTTTTTGTTTTGAGTTCCAGGATTTTCAAGGTGCAAAAGAAATAAGGAGCGGGGTTACAATAATGATCCTTCTTTATTCAACAAAAAAAATTAATAACATTTCATAATTACTTGATAGCTCATTAGCAAAAGAGTAATAAAACTTGGAACACAATATTCCAAGAAATTTTTTTTTTTTTTCTTGTTTAGACCAAGCTTCACTTTCTAAAGAATTCATTCTTACTACTACAACGGTAAAACCATAATGATAGGGGTAGAATAGGTCCCAAAAGCAAAACAAATTAAAATGCTTTTGTTTTGTTTTGTTTTCTGTTCTTGCTAAATCTAATAGACGAGCTTATCTTATAAGTTGCCAACCCTAAAAACCTACCATCATTATCAACAAAGTATTTGCTGTTTATATATTCCAACAAGGCAACACGTGTGATATCTTCCAATACACGTGGAATTGCCCACGGTGGCTTAACCTGGCACCTCCATAACACGTGTGAGCAAATGGTTACGTGCATGAAACACTATCTCTTATCTCCACCGTCATTTGCTTTCCATTTTAAAGATCAAATGCCCTCAAAACAAAACACTCAGTATTAGTGTCACCACTTCAGTAGATTCCCAAGTGAGCTGTGTAGTGTTTTGAAGACAACGTTGCAGAAGATTAAAAAAAAAAAAAAAATGGCGGATTTACGTGACGAGCACGGAAACCCGATCCAACTGACGGACGAGCACGGCAACCCGGTCGTGTTGACGGACGAGCACGGCAATCCCATGCACCTCACCGGAGTCGCGAAAACCGAGGGTACGGCTGCAGCCACTACTGGCGAGCAGCAGCTGGGGAAGCAGATGGAAGAGGAGCGCCGCCGCGAAGGCGAGAGGGCCGAACTTCAGCGATCTGGCAGCAGCTCAAGTTCCAGCTCGGTTAGACTCGCTACAAGTCTTATAGTGCTTAGTAATGACCAATATTATTAGACGTTTTTAAGTTTTAACTTCATGTTATACATACATATATGTATCATATAATCAAACGTGATTGCGGGTTAAATTTATACCTGACTCTATGATAAGGTGTATGGTTCAAATTTCAATCAAGTTTAAAAAGAAAAACAAAATCAAACAAAATTTAGATGAAAGTTAATTTGAAAAAAATAAGCTTATAAGATTGTAAATTTTTTTTTTTTGGTATTCTTTACATATAAGCTAATGACTAAGTGCTATAGTACTTTATTTCCATTATTAAAAAAACAAGGTGCTATAGTTGATCTCTATCTCCAATTTCTATCCCTTTTATTTTTTTAACATGCTATGTATCTTCAAATATTGTTCTAGACGTATCTTAAGGCTGACATTTTTGTAAAGCTAATAAGATCTTCACACCATCATTCAAGCACTACAATACAAATTCGGTTGATAATTCAACTTTTTCTTTTTTTTGGGGGGGTTATTATGCATGTGCATACTCATTAATTAGCTGGCTAGTATAATTTATGTGGCTTAATTATCAATTAATAATTACTGCAATAATATTGTTTATAATGAATGCATCATGGATTTTTGATTTAGTCGGAGGATGATGGGCAAGGCGGGAGAAGGAAGAAGAAGGGATTAGGAACAAAAATAAAGGAGAAGCTGACAGGTGGGATTGGAATTGGAAAGCACAAGGATGAGCAAGTACAGTCCTCAAATATAACAACTACAATCCCAACAACGATGACTGCCGCTGACCCAGCTGGCCAAGAACACCCCTACGAGCACCACGAGAAGGAGAAGAAAAGTGTCATGGACAAGATCAAGGAGAAGCTGCCTGGCCACCATAACCACACTTGAAATCATAAATATCTGTGTGTGTGTGTACACATATATATGGCCGGTGGGTGTGTGTGTTTGAATCATATGGATTACGTTGGGAAAAAAAATGTGGGTTTGAATTTGTGTGTAGTACTTGTCTTTCAATGTATATGATGTGTTAATGTTTTTAATTTGTTATTGCTGAGAATGTGTGCCTAGCTAGGGGGTAAAGATTTGAGGTAAGGTAATTAAGGGAGTTGTGTTTGGTGAGGTGATTAGTGTAATAAATCAGCCAATAATATGGATTTTATGTGTCAATTCTCCTCATCCCTCTCTCTCTCTCTCCCTATCTATTAGTACATTATATAGGATTGCTATTTATGATAGTTTGAGGTATGTGCCTATATAATAGGTCTCGCTTTTTTTTTTTTTTTTTTTCAGATTCTTGACTATGTCTAACTTAACTTACCTTGGATCTATGTATGATTTTAAGTTAAAGTTTTTTAACAGTCGAATCTATGTACGTTTTTTATGTGATTTAATATAAATATGACCGGTAGAAAATTTTTTATGTGATTTTATATAAATTTAACATAAAAAATTTAATTTATTGGTATTATTTAATTTAATACAAATATGACAGATAGAAAATTTTTTACTCAAATTTGACAGAGAATATCTTATTTACTGATAGAAAATTTGTGGTATCCATATGTTAATATCTGTCTTCTGATAGAAAATTTGTCTTATCCATATGTTAATATCTGTCTTATCGGTGTATGTATGTAAATCGATATGTAAATCGTTGTGTAGTATATCAACGATAGAAGGTTCCTGAGAAAAATAGGTACGGATAAGAGCTAAAATAGGTACGGATAAATCCAATACTCGATAAGCATATCACACATATACTGAAAAAGAGGACGGATTTTACTTCGAACAGTGTGTTTCTAGTTTTATCCTTGCGCATAAAATTACCCTTTTACCCTTTGTAGGTTAGTTAAGTTTTATTTTAGCATTGGGTCGGTTTTGTTATTTTGAGTTGAAGACACAACGGGTGCGTTTGGAATTGGTTCCAAAACATTTTTATTTTCTGTATGAAAATGAAAATGAAAACGTTTTTATTTTCATT